TATAGTCTGTACTGTATAGTAAATTAGTAATTATTATTTGGCTATCTTCTAATACAATATACAAATTTTCATTATCTTTTAAAAGATGAATAAAAATTTATGTATTTATATTAGAAGGAGGCTGAATAAAATATATGAAACTCATTTAGTATTTATATTAGATATATTAGATAAGTGTATTGTTGATCAAATTATAACTAATATATATAAAATTATTTGGTATTCACATAAGACATGTTGGATAATTTATAATTATTAGATAGGGTTTTAAAATATGCATATAAATATTAAATGGTGAAGATGATTGTATAATCATCTGTTATTATTTAACATCTACATATTATTATAAAATAGTTATTGTAGCAGATAAAATAAAATCAGATTAAAATAAAATAAAAAATAATATAAAATAGACAAACCACTAAAAAATACAAATTTTTGAATATGGAAGTGAAATATAACTTCATTAAGGTATATTTTTTTAGCATTTTTTTAGGGTTAGGATTAGGGTAGTACTTCTACAGACCAGACCTGAACTGGACTTTAGTTAAGTTTAAGTCTGGTTTGATTTTTGAACCGGACTTAAACTTTTATAATCAAACTTTTTAGTTAAGTCTGAGTTCAGTCCAGGTTTAGTTTGAAGTTTGAAAATAGTTTGAGTCCAAATATTCTTATATCAATATAAATTTATAAACCAAACTTTAATTAAAGACTCAAACTTTTTTCTAGTCCAGAGCTCGATCTAAAGTTTGTAAATTTTTTTGTGACTTAGCTCATCATACGCATAGAATTATGATAACAATTATTTATGAACTGTCAATGATCAGGTATTTAGTTAAGCTTCAAACTTTAAATTTCAATGCTTACTTAACTAAAACTAAGGTTTTTCTATAATTTATATGATCAGGCATTTAGTATGAGTTTCAAACTTTAAATTACAATGCTTAATCAACTAAAACTAAGATCTTTCTGTATTTTATTCAACTTGCTATAACTTTTATACTATCCTCTATAGAAAGTAAACTAATCTATAGTGATAATAGTTTATTAGGCTATGTACTAGTCACCTCATATTATATATATATTTTTTTTTTATTCTACACAACAAATACATAACTAATTCTATCAATTGAATAGCAAAGAATGTGTAAACTACAGCTGATATAATACTTTCTATTGCTTGATATCAAATATGTAGCTTTTAGAAAGCAAGAAAAGTAAAAATATAAATGTTAATAATTGATTAATTTATACATTTGAAAGATTGGATAGGAGAGATTTCTGTGTTTTTGGCAATATAGTTAGAAGTTATTAATTTTATTTTATTTAATATTTAATTAAGACTTATAGATTGGGGTTTAGCAGAATTCTATTACCCAGGAACCGAATATAATATGCACATTGCGTCTAGATATTTTAAAGGACCAGAATTATTGATTGATTTTCAAAAATATGATTATTCTCTTGAATATGGCGTTTGGGTTGCATGTTTGCCAGTATGATAAGGTTATATTGATTTTAGTTGTGTGTATCATAATCTAATCTAATGTAATATCAACTAGATTTATATAAAGCCTTTTTTTCACAAATATGATAACTATGATCAATTGGTAAAAAAATTGCTAGAATACTTGGCACAGATGAGCTTTTTGCATATCTTGATAAGTATGACATAGAATTGAATACTTAATATGATAATATTTGGAAAGATATTATATTTAATCATATGTAGTTCATTTACTCCTAGTATACTTAACATTATAAATATAGAATCTTTGCTAGAAAAATTATTCTTCAAGATTTTTCTAGCAAAGATCTCATGTATCAGATAATCTATTAGATATCTGATATAAATATATCAGATCATTTAGTTAAATCCATTTAGATATCTGATCTAATAAGATAGATATTTGGATATATAATACAGATAAATAGATAGCAAATTAATCTGGATTGAACTCTACAGAATACAACTAATAATAAATTAAGGTATTTCAATATATAAGTTCATGAATATTTTTATTATTTTTCTTTTATATACATTAATTTAGGTATATATAATAAGCTAAATGTTTATGAATATTTACTGTATTAATTTTTTTTTATTTATATTATTTTAAATATTGTAAAAAAATTTTATTAATCTTATTTTTCAAAATAAGTTTTTCAAGTTTATGAATATTTACTATTTAATTTTTCTTTTGTCTGGTTAATTTAGTTGTACATATTAGTTGAGTATTTAAAATAAGTTATTTAATAAGCTATTCAAAGTTCACAAATATTTACTATTTAACTTTGTTTATTCATATTAATTTAGGTATGTATAAAGAAAAATTTATTATCACAGCTGATTATGAAATCGGATTATTGTGAAATTTGAATCTATTTCATGTATGATTTTTAAATTTTTTTTAGGCCTTTTTTGTAGGCTTTTTTTTATAGTTGAGTTAGGATTTAGGGTTAGAGTTTTTAATAAAAGAGTATTGGTGGA